TAATATTATATGTATTATAATTTATTAATATAAATGTATARTATTGTATACATAATATTATGCTTTGTTTTTATGAAGGAAAATAATATTAAGTATCACAGTTAAGAAGTTATCATATGGATACAACAATAGGTGGTAGTAGGTACATATTACTTTTGAATTTAAATTTTAAATTCGAAACCTATATAGATCTGTCCGTCTCGGTAAATGGAAAATTCACTCTCTTACAATATCCATGACAAAAAAAAAAAAAAAAAACATAAGTCTCGGAAATCCAAATTCGTCACAGACACGAACCTTTTGGTATGGGTCAGACGCGATCCCCTCTGAAGCGTGTATTCTACCCTAACATTCTCAAGAACTCAACACAAGGTGGTCAGAATGTCTATTGATGCGTGTGGGGAATATTTTTACAGCAGCAGCGATGTATGTACGTCCTATTATACAGCGTAAATTACTTCGATCGTACGATATGCTATATACGTATAGTGTATCCGAGATTATTCCTTTGAGCATTCCCCAAGCTATCAAATACACATGGTAATAAAGAAATCGTGCGCAACACGATCCACATATATTTTATGYACGTAAAAAAAAACTAAAAAAATTTATCTAAAATTAACAAAATTTTCCGCATGAAGATTGCTCCTAATTATCAAATCGCCCGGAGCGGTTTGTGTAGAAATGGCCCGGTAATTAGCGTGACACGACCGGTCGGCTTACGGAGCAACAATATAAAAAAAATACAACAAAAATGGTAGACAGAAATAAATTGTTCAAACAAAATACCAATATGAGAGACGACAAATGCAAAACGTATACTATTGCCAAAAATATCAAAATAGAGTTATATATCATTTTTGATATTAAAAACCACRCGGAATCGAATAACGTGTTCAGATTTGGCCAAAACGTACTATTTCTAGTGTATATTTGATTATAAAGTTTCATGATTTCTGCATAACGCACCATTCCCATYCCTAAAATCGTGTCAAAAATAACTATTTCCAAATTATATCAAAACGTACTATTTCCCATGCTATTTAGTGTAATCACTGTAATCTTAATAATTATCGAAGTAAAACGTACTATTTCCAGATTGTAGCAAAACGTTATATTCCC